AGAGAGAGAGAGAGAGAGAGAGAGAGAGAGAACAAAGGGTCCCCTTCACGTCAATTCGAAGGCCCCTGCAGGTACCTCGAATGGCTCCTACATTACATGTGGAGCCATTGAGGGCCACTACTTCAATGAGAAGGATGGCCTCGTCATGTGTGGAAGAGATGGGGGCAGACCACCAATATATGCTGTGGATTCGAGTTCAGGGCTGTAGCTCGGCAGTTATGGGTCACCAATTCAGCTAGAACCTGTTCATGTCTCCACGTGATTCTCAGGGTCTCCCGCCACCACTCACCAAATGTAAATAATATTAGTAGAATGAATCTTATGCTAAAACATGGAACCATACACCGCCATATGCTATGTCTTTTGTGCATTTGGTGAGTAGTAGGAGCAGGCCCCACTGGACGTATTCGTAAGAAAACAAAAACAAAAAAAACGAGAGAGCAACGGGCATCTTCATCCTAACCCATAACTGCCGACATGCAGACCTGAACGCCAATCTTCAGCATATATTGGTGGTCGGCTCGCAATGGAGAACGTAACTTGTGACATCTGCGAAGCTTCGCGGGGCAGGTCGTTATTAGGTGACTACCCCTTCTCGCGAACTTACCCCACCACTGTGTGGGATTTGCAGAAGGGATCGGGAAGGACAGCTTCCATACCCCGCCTAAAAAAAAGTTGGAATGAGCCCTATTTTATGCTTCGCCATTCTGAAACTTTTGGGGGAAGGGCCTGCGGAAATCGGAATTCGGCAGCCCTTACCCAAAAGAAAAATTTGGGCCAGGGGCGCGGCCGGTTTCGGAGCTCGCGCGGTGACCTTACCATTTGTGCCGAGTTGGGGTCCTAAGAAATTACAAACCCCCCACTTTTTTTTTTTTTTTTGGACCTAATTTTTCCAGTGCGCTGCGCTGCGCGCGGTGAGCAATTCGTGCGCACGCAACTATGCAAAATAGTACATATCGAATGTTTTCAATAAGAGATGCATACATAGGACACAGTACATACATAGTATATATAGTACATGGCAACATGCATAGTATTTACATAGTATGAGAGTACATAGTACATACCTCTCCATTAGGCTCGAACTGCTGTGGAGCTGTCTGCGTTGTGCTAGAAGTATTTGACTGCTCCTTTGTGAAGAACAAGCTGTGTCAGAGGAAGAAGGAAGAGCAAAGGATTCTTAATTTTGTGGACCAACAAACTCTTGGATTCGACATCAATATACCCAAAACACACATCCTAATAGTTTAGTACGCCTGCGCAGTGAACAGACCAGGTATGTTGATCAGACGGGTGGATGTTTCATGCTGACTCAAGCCGCACATGCGCACGAGGCAGAAAAACATCCACACAAGGCAAAAGATGCACAACGCGGAAAAAAAAAAAAGAACAGGCACAAGGGTTTCGGAACGCAGAATGCCAAACGCAAAATGCCCACACACTTTCTTCTTCAGAGGCGGCAAAACAACGGTAACAAGCGGTGAAATAAGCTCAGGTTGATTCAACCACTAGTTTCCACATCGCATCGGACTATATCTTTAGCCAGAGAGAGAGAATCTGTGCCCCACCATGACATACATATATTGTCACATATCTATGAACTAAAAGAGCGCACTTTGCGAATGTGTTGTTCTTGTGTATATAGCACAACATCTTTCTTATCTATATTATAAGGTTGCTGGGCATATATAGCATCTGCGCGCAACTCATTGGAATGATATCGATTTGAGTGGTTTGAGTGGGCCACTTCTCCCTTTGCAAGTGGTGTGATTTGAAATATGTATCAGCTGCTGTGGACTGCAATCAGACTCGTTTTCAAACACACTTTTCACACATGTAAACAGTAGCACAGCACACTGGCGACATGCGCCCACTCAAAACTCAGAGATATGG